AAAAAAGGAGAGGAATAAAAGTTATGCAGATTGGAGGTATAGTTTGGTCTATGAAATATAGATGGCAGGGGTATAGGTTTTGCAATCTGAGAGACTGAGAATAAAACCTTTGCTCTTCCATTTATCTACACTTTGATCTTGGGTAATTTCTCAACTTTTGTGAACTAAATAAGGTGATTATTTGTAAGCAACAGAAACTGAGTATTGTCAATTCAATCAAGAAAGCAATTTATTGGAAAGATGACTGGCAGAAGGGCTGGCAGAAGGAAATTCAGCCAAGTTCACATCATCCCAACCCAGTAGTTAGGATGCCTCAATCCACAGCCACTGTCACTGTCACAGCCTCTGCATCACCCACACACACACACACACACACACACACACACTCGTGCTGTTGTGGATGCCTTCTCGGGCAGAGGTGTCTGATAGGCCAAGAGAAGGTCACCTAGTTAAAGGTGAGAGAGAGCAGATCTGGCCCATTTAGCTTCTCTCATGGCAGGGTGGGTTTTGCTTCAAAATAATATCACACAGAGGGAGATTCTCTCAAATAGGATACTTTAAAAGGAGTCTTTTAAAAATAATGTCTCCCATAATATAATTCTCTTACCAATCAACAGTTAGGCCCACGATTTTCTACTACGGCCATTATTACTAAGATAATATTGCCACCCCTATTTTGGAGAGGATTCTTTAAAAATTATGTTTACCATGTTCCTTAACCAAACTTTGCTTTGCTCATTTGTAAAATGTAGGTGTTACTACCTAGTACCTTCCACATAGGTTTGTTGGGAAAACTAGACAATATTTAGCACAGTGCCTCACACAAACTAAGCTCTGGATAAATTTCAGCTATCCTTACTAATCTTTGTGATTTTAAGTTTCTCTCTAACCACAGGTTCAATCATTGCAAACAGATGAGGACAATCGTACCAAATTAACAACATAAACTACCTACGGAAACAAGGAGCCCCTCAAACTTTAGTGGATTATGTTTTATGCCCTTTATGGTCCAGTGAGAGTTGCTGTGGTTTGAATTAAGTCCTCACTTCTTGCAGTCAGGGACCCAGTCACTTCCTGTCTATCAAGTGCCTCAGACACAGAAAAAGGTCTTGCATTGCATTGGCAGAAAAGGGGAGACACACACAAAAAAGATCGGGTCTTGTGGGGACCAGGCCTAGAAATGACACCGCCCCCCATTTCTAACTGAACATTCCATTGGCCAGCATTCTGTCATGTGGGCTGTACTTAACCACAAGAAGTCAGTTGGGAGAAACATACAGCTATGTGTTCAAGAGGAAGTGGAAACAGGATCTGGTAAAATGCAACCTCTCTATTACACCTACCTAACACCCTTAGGGAGGTGCTAATGAGATCGCGTGTGCATGAAAGTGTGACAGTGTTGTGGAAAGTGATGAATCAACACAGCTATGCTGGTGCTGGTGTTTATTATTAAGTCAGGATATTTCTGGAGGCCTTTTGAAGTGTTAAAACAGCAATTTGGGTGTGAAAAAAGCTGAAATTTAATCCGAAGGTCCTTCCTGCTGTAGAAGAGACTCCTGAACTTGTAAGGTTTGTCTTTCCACTTGCACTTTCAAAAATAGGCAACAATAGGTAAATAGTTCCCTCTCTTTGCCCATTGGTCCAGTCCATAATTGGGGCTGGAGAAAAAGGTGGGGAAAATAAAACAGCAGAAAGGCATTACTTTAAGGCATGTAACTGTCGGAGCAGGAGGCAGCCTGAAGTAATCACTGGTGGTGACCGGCCTTCACGGCAGTCAGTTATTGCCACATGAAGATGTTGGGGAGTTACTGACATGTGTAACAACTCCAGGGACTAGACTCAGCATAAAATCACCACTTAGAAAATGAAAATAATCAGGAGACCACACATTTGGAATGTGCCACTGAAACAGGAGGCGTGCCATTAGGGCCACCACCACCTCATGGGCCTCCTTCCATCCCCAGGGTTGTGTGAATACCCTGCTTGTAATCCACCGAACCGACTGGCTGAATGTGTGGAAGACAAATGGGTCCAAGGATACTGTGTTATTCGTACCCAATAAATGCCTTTTATGCTGTTTTGAATCTGCACAATCTATCACGAAAGACAAGAGCAAACAATTTGCACAGGCTTTGCTACATGGATACTAGTGCTTCAGGAATGCTATAAGATCCTGACAGCTGTAGCTCAGTAAGGAATCCAAAACCAGTGTAATTCGTCTTGCTCTCTTCCTCCCAAGAATCATCCCCCTTTCATCCCCTGGTTGAACCCACAGTTTGTTCTATGTTGCATCTTCTTTGACCCAAGGAAGACTCAACCTCATCAAAATGAACATGGTCAGTAGTCCTCCAGCAGCCTGTGCTTTGAAATGAGTTCCCACATTAAAGTGTTTACTTGACAGAGCAGTCAAACAGCTAGAACACAGCAATCAAACTGATCAGGCAGGAATTTCTTAGATTAGTTTAAACCTTCAGAGAGGATATAATGACAGTTCTGAAGAATTGAACTAGAAGCCTCCAGTGTGGAGAAGTAGGCATTGAGGCAGAAGCTGCAAGGGAGAATAAAATACAGTGATTAAAATAAAAATCTCTTTGTTGAAATACACAAACAATAACAAGAATCTCCCACGTAAATGTGGTAATTCTTCCTTTCCTTTTGCAATGTCGGTTCCTGGCAAAGTGTGAGGGAAACTAGACTCCACTGTCCCAGTTTTTCAAACTGGAAATAAGATTGTTTCCCAAACTTCAATTTCTACTTCTGCAAACTAAATTTAAGAATCATGCACCAAAACAGCATATAGACAAACCTTATTACATAAGGTTTATGTAATAAGTCTTAGCCTTGCATATTTGGTTTCACCTCTTCTTAAAGCTACTGGGAAAAACTTAAAGGACTAGTAAGATAAACAGCTCAATTGGAAAAAAAAAAAGCCTAATTTGTCAATGATGGCTAAAATCTATAAATGTGCTAATTTCTTCATCAGTGTGTGTGTCAGCTTTTATGTTTAACACATTCTTCATCGTGAAAAAAAATCAATGAGTACACCAAACCAAACTGTCCATTTAGGAACTTCAAGAGGAAAGGAGAGGGGGAAAAAAAGCGTTTGCAGAAAATGTATGTGATGAACCCCCCCGTCACGTATTTACTGACAGCCAACCGACTTGAGTGATGACTGTAATTCGGTGAGTGAGGAATGGGGGCACAATGTACAGTTTCCTTTTTCTACTTTTCATTTTTACTCCATGCTGACAACCGTTCTAGAGGCCACTATTCAAAGGCAGCGTAGACAGCAGGAGGGTTCATGGTGCTGATTAAGAAAAAGACTGAGACGCTGACTATCGCCCATTCTTTTCATAATAACTAGCAGGTGTGTTTTCCGTTCTACTATTCATGATGAAGCAGTACACAAAACAGTGATGCTCCATCCATTTGGTGTCTTATGCAAGTGAATATGAGTCTAGCTACTTTACCGCCTGAAATGAGCTGAAATCTGGAATGCCCTTTGTGATACTTATTACTCAAGGAAACTAACTGGGGAATCAGAAACTAGCAGGTTTGTTCATTCATGAAATAACATTTACGACATGCATCCTTGCTTATCACATAAAGGAATCCAACTACCTACTTAGTCTGCGAGGCGTTTTAGTACGCTAAAATGTATGGGCACAGCAGGCCGGAAGGCTTCTTCTAGGAATTTAAATTGTATCAAAGGCCCACACGACCTCGCCTGTTGAGTGTGTTAAGAACAGTTTGGGGGATTTTAATCACACCGTGGCATCTTACAGTTACAAGGTTTTACTTCTGGTTTTTAGAAATAGAAGTGAATAACGATTACACGGGAAAACTCTCCCATCAGTCAAGAGGTCAAACAACCTAATTCAAACAAAAGACCCGGGCAAATAGGTTTTTCCGAGTCAACCGTGAACTGACGCCTGGAGAATCCCCTTACTCTCACGACTTTCACATTTCCCTTCTCACCCTCCCCGTTGCCTTTCAAAGGTTTCGTGAAGGAGTGTGATGGGTTCAAGGCCGAAAGCTCAGTCTCGCTTCTTTCAAGTCGGGGAAGTTTCCCAGGCGGAGAAGGGCTCGGCAGGTAGACAGCCACAGCCCTCCCGGCCTCACCCACGCCCGCCTATCTGCGAGGCCACTTCCCTCCTACGCTCAAGGCTGTGCCACCTGCGCCAGGTGAAGCTGCAGTCCTGTCCTTTTTTTTTTCTTTCCCCTACAGAGCGCAGCCCGCACCCCGGGCACTGCCAACTAATTCCTTTTATGGTGAAAGGCTGGATTCCTCACTGTTTCCCCGCCCAGGCCTTGTACCCACCCACCCACCACATCCGCCAAATCCCAGCGGGCACACACGGTATCGCGCGCGTGCACACACTCACACTCCCCCTATCCTCCCTCCTCGGCCGCTCCAGGGTCCTTCCCAAAGCAGCTGTGCCCTCCCTGCCCAAGACTCAGACGTTGCAGCCCGCGGACCAAGGATGTGAAAACTGCCCACTCGGGAGGCAGGAAAGTGAAGGGGACGAGACGCTAGTTTCAGCGCTGCTCCCGACTCCAGCAGAGGCCAAAAGATGCCTGGGAAAGCACCGAGTTTCCCCAGGATCTCCGCGTGGGCTTCCACTCTCCCTCTGAGGGCTCTGGCCGGAGAAGCACATCCAGCAGCGCTACCCGCCGGGTGCGAGTCCCGGCCCGACCGCCCCGCCCCTCCCTTCCCTGCCCCTTGCTCCTCCCCCTCCGGCCCAGCCAATGGGCTCCAGGGCCGCGCGAGCGCTCTTTCCCCGCCTCCTTC